TTCATTAGTATTCAACTACCGAGATGATCCATAGACCAACAACAACCTGATGACAATAAACAATGTGGATTACCAACCAAATCACTTCATTTCACAGATTATTGCATAAAACATATTTCTGTTTACACGGTGTATAGAAAAGGTTCAACTGAAAGCTATGAAATGAAACTAATTTCCCATAAGAATTTATCCATTTTCAAGATTGTTAACTAGATTGCAAATGTCAGCAGCAAAGGTTGGACATACCATCAGGAATTTTTTCAGGTCCTTTCCTAAAGCAATGCTTCGTAGGATAACAAAAGCTTGGTTTAGTTCACAACCAAACAAAGAACTAACATCCAGATATTTAAATGGTCAAGGCTCTGAATCTTACTTGGTAATGAATGTGTGAGCATTGGACAAAACAGGCCTCCAGGCATATAGACCGAGATTAAAGTTCCTCATTATTCACAAGTTAATAACATAATATTAACCAATAACAGCCAATAAGCAAAGCAGAGAAAATCATCTCCTCCTCGTCATGTCTCACAACCAGGAATTATGATCATAATCTAAACTTTTTCTGTTAAAGAAAGTTGAGAATTTGAAACATACCCGGCAAAGTTTCTGCTTTGAGAGTGCGTCTGATGAGCAAAGGAGGCTGAGGATAGAGACGAAGGACTTCTACAACGATCAGCCGTATGTACCTGCAGAAGCATGAAGCAAAGAGGTCAACAATTCAAATAGAGACCAAAAGATGAAAGAAGATAACTAATGGGAGATAGGACCAGATGTGCGAACCAAATCAGTTATGTTCTATTAGCAAATCCCAATACATCCCTAACAGAAACATCTTTCCAAGTTCATAAAAACCAAAATTTACAACTAAGAAAAGACACACGGTCCAGCGTAAACTGCATTGAGAAATTTGTTTTGCGACCAGGCCATGGATCCTACATGCAAAATCAAAAAAGAAAAGGGAAAACAGCCACCTATTGCTACCAAATATGGCCAATGGAATACCACATTAAATCAGAAACGAAACCCAGATGACAAATCTACCCAATTATATCCACAGAAATTAGAAAACAAAATCGAATGGCAAAACTTGAAATCTAAGAAAACGAAATCAAAGATTCGTCAATGATTAGAAATCTAGATGAGACTGCACCGTTTCTACGAAATCGAAATTCAGATACAGAACAAAGAAGAAGAGAGAAACGCAAATTCTTTACCAGTATAAACGCGAACCGATTTGCACTTGGCAGATTATCGGAAAAAAGAAATGGGGGAGAGAATGAAATTTTGTCGAGAAATTTTAAGGGAAAAGAAATGCCCAATGAAAATTTTTTCTTCCCACTTTGACCAATAATACACCGCCAGCTGTCCGATGATACTGAGTCATACGGGATCAACATGTTGAGTGCAGTCATACGGGTTCATAGAAATGAGCTTGTTTTTAAATTTTTAAATCCAAAAAAAATAAAGGGCCCCACTTATGATAACCACTCATACCCCGTTGGAGATACCCTAACCTTTGACCCAGATTATTTTTTCTTAGCTATTGAATCATCTACTGAATCTTTTGTTTTTTGCTGCTTAAACCTATGCATGAAGAAAGAAAGATGAAGAGGGTCTATATTATTTACGTACCCCTCATTTATTACTTGCTCAAACCTATGCATGAAGCAAGAAACATGAGACGAAATACAAAGAGAGTTTGTTTATTTACCCGACTCTTAGATCATGTCCATTAGGGTATCTAAACCCTTTTTAGACCTGAAAACATAGGCCAAACGTTTTTTTTAAAAAAGAAAAAGGTCTTTTCTCCTGAACCCGTCTCTTAAATAACATACTTAGAGCATCTTTAACGCGGTATTTATAATCAAATCGGTTTCTTTAAGTTCAGAAACGTTTCTTATTTGGGGACAATAAGGAACGTTTCTATAGCCACATGTCTTCATATTATTGGTATTAGAGTTTGGGCGACAAAACATTTTTCGGGGGTAAACCTTTAACACCTGCTCTGTCTCCGGTAACTCCTCGACCACAATCTCAATGATTCACACGATTTTATCGTTTACTTGAAACAGCTCATCTACGAAATTCACCGTGAAGCTCAACAACAACCAGACATGGCTGATTTACGCCTTTTTGCCGATTAATCTGACTCAAAACGGAGGTTCTTCGATTAACTGCAGTGGTGGATTTTCGGATCGTCTTGTTACGGATTTGAACCCAGATTTCGAATCAATCCTCAATCGATTCAGTTTCTGTTACCCAGTTTCCGGTGACGCTGATTTCACAAAACCATTCGCAAACCAATCTCAATCTCTCATTAAAAATCATTATTTTCCTTTGAATTTCTTCACTTTTTCTTTTGAATCAAGGAAAACCCTTTCGAGGTCTCAATTGAATGGAACAAATGGACTTGGAAGGTTTGAAAGAATTACAAGACTGCGCAAACTATCTTCTCGATCACTTTCCAGAAGCAAGAGAGTCTTTGTGTCAACAAGGGAAAAAGAAATGGATCGAGCAAGTGTCTGAAGCTTCAGTAACAATGTTAGATGTTTGCAATGTGTCAAAGGATGTGATGGCACTGGTGAGACATAGCCTGCACGAACTTCAACTAACACTATGCTGCAATGAATCAGACATCAATGAGAAGATCGCAGCGTATAATCGTTATAGGAACAAGCTCAAGAAGGGAACACTCAAGTGCTTAAATAGTTTAAAAGGGTAATAAACGAGGAAGAGGGACAATAGTGACGCAGAGTATAGAGCAAAACATTTTGTTTGTTGCAGAGGTTTTGAAAGCAGTGAGAAGAACTATTATGACTATGGTTGAGTCTCTGTTCTCGCTTGTGTGTATTCTTTGGCTGGAAAGAAGACCGAGCAAAGGTGTGATCACAAATTTTTTTTTAAAAAACGCTTATGAGTCTCTGCCATTGAACAACCTGAAAATATGGGTTTTTTATCCAGATTTCTTATTCACTTTTATGCTGAAAATATAATAAAAAAATAGCTAAGAGATTTAAATGGGTTTTAGCGTTGATGATGCTCTTAACAATCCGTCTCTTACAAGGACGTGGCACTTGGGGATTGGTCGAATCATTTGGAATTTTTAAAGCGTTTTGCGAAATTTCACTCGGGTTTTCCATTCCTTAATCATCTCTCTCACAAGCATTCTTTCGCGAGACTTTTTGGTTTAGTAATTGTCTTCATCTTCTCCAATCGAATTCAACCTCTCATCGACCTGGTGGAAGAGTCGCCGGAGCTCTGTTTGATAATCGATGACAGACACAAGAACAAAATCACAAAGGAAGCGGCCTTGAAGCAGAGAAGATTCCAAACAGCACCGTGATTAAGGTCTCCAAATTGAAGTCCGATTTACGCAAATTAGTGGAGGAGAAATGGGTCGAGCTGTATTTCGCGGAGAGGAGGCTAATGACAATTGTTCTTCGTGGGGAGTGGGGACAGGTACTTGCAGTGTTGTCAAGGTGGCAAAATTGTCAATGGGAAGGAAGGAGATTGCAGAGAATGTAATGGCCGCAATAAACGGGATTGCTGATTTGATTCACTGATCCGGAGTCCACTGTTCAGGTCAGATTCTTACCTGATTCTTGAAACATGTAGAATTGTTTGTTTGAATGATCTAGACTCAATCTAAATTTTGCTTGGTTAGTAAATTGAAGAGATTACTGGAGTAATTAGCATCAAAGGATTGGATTAAAGTATGCGACTCATTGAAAAGCACAAGGAGATTTGCAATTTATCACTCTTCTCTGTTGCTACCCAATTTTGTGAGTATCTACCTTTCTCATCTTAAATTGTTCAATTCAAGTACAAGTATGATCTGATTTGAATAAAAGTTATTTGAAGAACCTCATTTGAAACCAAAACAGCTACTGCAGCTGCTAATGAAAGCTTCACAAGACAAGAAGTTTGTGTGTGAGGAAGCAAACAAAGCACTGAATACGATGGTTAACTCAGTGGCTCACTTGCCTCTTCTGCGTAAGCTTAAAACTTATGTCCGCCACAGGAGGTCGAATGAAGATGGCGTTGCAAGTATTATCATAAGTGGCGAAGAAGATGATGATAAGTATTGTCTTGGTCTTGTGTATTGTTTATTTTTGTGGCTCTGATGATACTTCGGAAGAAAATGATAGTTTTGTTTTCGACTGTGATGGTTCTTCTTACAGCAGCTGTTGGTTTCTTATTAGCTAAGAAGAATGGCAAACCCTGTGATGATGCTACATGAAGATGGTGAACCAACAACAATCTCTGACGCTAAGGAGGTAAACTTTGAGCAGGTGCCAGTAGAGAATCTGATCAAAGAAAGGCTTTCTTCACTGAATTTCTAAGAAGAAGAAGAAGATGATGACAGAAAAAGAGAGGTATCATTATTCCCTTCAGAGATGAGCTTCACTTTCCATATGAATAAATCGTTGCACAGCTGCAATAACAGAGATGATCTCAAAGAATATCAAAGCAGAGGAGGCAGAAAGATTTTGTAATGTGTTCACAAGAGATTTACATACTCACTGAACCTTTTATCGTTGTGTGTTTGGGTGATGTCTTTGATTTCAAATACTTGAATGTGTTTGTAAAGTCTTGACATTGAACTTGGCTTATTTGGTGGCACTAGTTAGATGTCTTCTCTTAAATTTTTTTTATTTTTAAGAACTTCAATGAAGTTCACCAATGGAAGAAGAAAAAAATAAAAGTTCTTCACTGTTTATAGATAAAAAAAAAATCAATAAAATAAATTTAAAGATATTCAAAATGAGTATCACTGATGTACATACTCTTAGAGCATGTACATTGAGGGTTCAGCCCAGCTAATTGGCCCAGTCTCCTATGCAAAATTATTTAAAAATTAATCAAAAATGAGAAAATGTTGATGGAGCGATCCTTAGCGAGGGGGCTGACAAACCCGTCTCTTAAGGGTACGTGGCTCGTTTTGGTTGGATTATTTTTTTTAATCAATTTCTCGAGTATTTTTTTGTATCTCTCATCTCTCTCGACATTCTTCTCTTGGCCGACGAAGATATGTTTATTCTATCATCTTCATCTTCTCTAGGGTATTACTTAATTATCTTTTTTTTGTTGGTGAAGGTTTTGAAGTGATGGGGTCTCTTGTTCGTGAATGGGTCGGATCTCAGCAATTTCCAGCGGCTACCCGAGAAAAGTTAGGTGAATTCTTCGGCAAATTGAAGCCAAAGGTTTGTTTTTTTCCCCTGATTCTTTGAAATCGGTTTCTCCGTTATGCTTAGGACAATGGGGTTTTGTAATTGCAGGATATAAACACTATGACAGTTCTAGTTCTGGGCAAAGGCGGTGTCGGAAAATCATTCACTGACAATTCTCTTTCGGCGTACATGTCGTCCGTGTCAGTCCTTTCCAGGTACATATTGGTTGTTTGAATGATCATAGACTCAATCACCTTACTTGATTCTCGAAACATTTATAATTGTTTGTTTGAATGATCATAGACTCAATCTAAATTTTGTTTGGTTAATAAATTGAAGAGATTACTGGAGAAATTAGCATCAAAAGATTGGATTAAAGTATACGACTCATTGAATAGCACAAGGAGATTTGCAATTTATCACTCTTCTCTGTTGCTACCCATTTTATGAGTAGAAGTATGATCTGATTTGGCTAGCGATATCTTAAGTGCTATTTTGATGGTGTCAAACCAAATCAGCTACTACAGCTGCTAATGAAAGCTTCACAAGACAAGAAGTTTGTGTGTGAGGAGGCAGACAAAGCACTGAATACGAACTCAGTGGCTCGCTGAATTATAGATGGCGGGTATGGAACTTTTCTTCCTTTTCACGTTTCTATAACCATTAGATAAATGATTGTGTTTCTTGATGTTACAATGCTTCAGGGGGTTTGAATCATCTTGCTAAGTCTTGTCCACATGTTTGGGTTGATGTGTTTGCCCTCTTGAATGTGCTCTTTCTCCACCGCCTCCTGACGCTAGCTTTGATGGCTCTGCTGAGAACAATGGTGTAAATGGAACTCTGACCTTGGAGGAGAAGCTTGAACTGGTAGATGGATCTACTGATGTGGTTCAGGACTTGCCTGATGGGGATGGTGAGCAGAAGCAGCAAGGTCTTGATGGCGTTCAGGAAGCTGACGGTACGCAAGCGAAGAGTAATGATGCTTTCTCAGCTTTTGAAATATTAAAGAAGATGATACGTTCAGGTGTTGAAATCAAGCAGTTGTACTTCAAATATTCTCAGCTCTTGTATTTTATTCTTAAAATTCCTAATGGGGTTCACTAATGGAGAAGAAAAAAATACTAGAGTTTCTTTACTATTTTTTTGAAATAATAATAATAATAAAATAATCCTAAGGAACCCAATATAGGATTCACTAAGAGCATGTACATTGAAGGTCCTTAACAATTTTTAGGTGGGTTGCATACTAATATTTTGGGTTAAAATATTAAAAAGGGAGCCCAAGAAAATAAGGGTCAACCCATCGCTAAGGGTTTTAAGGGCCGAGCCATACTGAATCCCTTAAGCGACGTGTCGCATTTTTATTGGGTGGACGAAAAAATTATCGGTTTCTCGCGTGTGGGTCAAAAATTATCCGACACTTGACATTTTCTGAGAAAAAAACACCCAAGAGCTCTCTCCCATGGCGATTTCGAAGGCGAGTGCATGCGATTTCTTGTCAGAGCAAATCGAAGGCGATTTCGACTGTTTTCCGGCGGATTGGGTCCTCGAATCGTGAAGGTTAGTCGTTTTTGAGGGATTCATTGTGTTTTATGCGTATTTGTTATGTTTTCTTCAAAATCAGGGTTTTGAATCGGGGAAAAAAATTGGGGGTTTTTTGTGCTCAATGAAATTTGGCTAATCTCTGGGAATAATACTCGTGAATATAGTTGTTTGAAAGCGTTTACATGAAGATATAGACTGTATTTTGTGTATTGAGGTATATGATCGGTTCTTTGTATTCGGTGAAGTAATTGAGTTGTAATTCTTTTGTTAGTGATGTTAATGATCGGTTGGTGATGTATATGATAGGTTTTGTTTAGTATATGCATATATATCATGTTATTTTGATGATGAAGTTAAAGTTGAAGTATATGATCGGTTGTTTGTAATGAGTTCAGATAGTTTTGAGTTATAATTATTTTGTTAGTGATGTTTATGATCGGTTGGTGCTGTATATGATAGGTTTTGCTTAGTGTATGCATATATATCATGTTATTTTGATGATGAAGTTAAAGTTGATGATGAAAATGTTGTTGTGAATTTTTTGGCGAGTGTAAATGGAGAGCACAAGGAATTCTTGATGATGATGTTACTTCCTTCTAAACTCAGCCCAAGGTAAGTCTTGTTCAAACCAACAATGTATCTTCTCGGGTCTTCATTTTCAAACCAAGACATGTGATATTTGGGTCATATTGTTTGCAGCCATAGAAGTCTGTCCAAGGTCCAATGATCGAAGCAGGCATCCAAACAGCTGTCATGCCTTAAAAGGTTAGTTTCATTCTAAACTTGTAGTTAGCATATTGTTTAGGGTTGATAGTTGCTTTCTTTGTATATGATCGCTTAGTTAGTATTGATTGTAAATGGTGGTAGTTGTTTGTTAGGTGAAGAGTTATGGTAATAGCTGGTGCTTGTTTAAAAGAAACATTGAGTGCTTTAAAAGCTGTCTCAAAATCACATCAAACATCCCAAATATTAACTATTAAGATAACAACTAGTAGCTATCATTAACGCTGGTTATTAAATGTACCAAACTCTTAAAAAACATCACAAATATATAAGGAAACCAACACTCACTAAAACACTAACTCTTTCACAAACTTCTTAACTCTCTTTAACAAATATAGAACTCGCTAAAACACAACTCTTTCACAAACTTCTTAAACACTTGTCTTCTAAAATCACTCTTCTCTTCTAATATCACAAACCCGATCTTCTTTCTTAAACAAGCCTCCTACACACTTCTCTTAACCAAGCCTCCGAAACACTTATCTTTTGAAACTCCTTTTACTTCTTAAAACCGACCAACATGGATTCTATGAACCCAAACGGTAGCTCACAGGGGTTTGTGAACCTCTTAACAAGTCAAGAGGAACACACACTCTGTTTTTCGCAGAGTGTAGACCTTGGTTCATCTCAAGTCCCAATTTTTTCAAGCCAACTCTTCTCTCACCCGAGTCCTGCAGCTGATGAACGAAAAGAGAGGAGGAAGTGGTCACCTGTAGAAGATGTTGTATTGATAAGTGCATGGCTCAACACCTCCAAAGACTCATCATCAGCAATGAACAAAAAGCTGGTGCTTTTTGGAAAATAACAGAATCTTTCAACAACTCTAAGAAGATGGAGAATGAACAAGATAGAGAGGCTGGTCAGCTCAAACATAGGTGGCAGCGTATTAATGACCACGTTTGTAAGTTTGTGGCTTGTTATGAAACAGCTTTGAAACAGCAAAGCAGTGGACAAAATGAGAATGATGTGATGAAGGCAGCTCATCACATCTTCTACAATGATCACATGTTCAAGTTCAACCTTGAACATGCTTGGCAAGAACTCAGACATGACCAAAAGTGGTGCTCTGTTTCTGCTGCTAAAGAAGGTGGAAAGCCAAAAAGAAGGTTGATGCAACTACAACTCATTCTGAAAGCTCACAAACCCAAAGCGTTGATATAGAAGAAGGCTTCGAAGGAAGCAATAAAGAGAAAAGGCCACAAGGAGTTAAGGCGGCGAAGGCTGCAAAGATGAAGGGAGTTCACACAGGCGGTCAAGAAGGAGAAGATGATATGAAGAAGCTAAAAACCATGTAGGATCTCAAGGACAGAGACCTTGCCATGAAGGATAAGATCACTAACAAAAAAGTGCTTAACAGTCTTCTCCTTAAAACCGAACCATTAACTGAGATAGAAAAAGCTTTGAAGACTAAGTTTATTAATGAATTATTGATGTAGTTTTGGTGTATGAACCAAGTTGATGTGGTTGGTTTTTTATCGGATATGTATGATTTATGTAGTTTGTGTTTTATGTTTGTGTCTTTTTAAGGTGTTGGATGAATCGGCTATGTAGTTTTTGTGTTTGTTTTTGATGTCAATGTAGTATGTATGTTGCTTAACTTAAAATGAATCGGTTATGTTAATTTACATTCTTCTTGTTTTTGTTATCAATATATACAAGTATGCAAGTTTTAAAGCAAGCTTTTGTTACATTCTTCTTCTTAATAAAGCAGGTTTTTGATGCAAGTTTTTTCATGAGTGGTGGGAGCTTGAAGACCGTTGCTTTTGGTCTGAGAGATGGACCTACAAGGATAAGTGGTGGGAGCTTGAAGACCGTAGCTTTTGGTCTGAGAAATGGACCTACAAGGATGAGTGGTGGGAGCTTGAATATCAGAGCTTTTGGTCTGAGAGATGGACCACAAGTATTTGTAAACCACAAGTTATGTGTTTTGGAATGTAAGGTTTTGTATCTTCTTTGTAATCTACAAGTTATGTGTGGTGGTTGTAAACTCTTATCTTTTTTTGTAACACATTTTAGTTCAAGCAATTCGTCAATCTCCTCTCCTCTTCTCTATTTATAGCTTTCAACCTCAACATAGTTTACTCATCAACAAATATTCATCTCCTCTCCTCTTCTCTAAATATTTTGTCCAATATTCTCAATCAAATTATTTTTCCACCAAATATGGTATCATCTTCCAACAATGATTCGGATGATTCCTTTGATGAAGCGTTTGATGAGGTCTGTGATCAAGCATTTGATAATATGTTTTACGCTATGTTAGACCGTCAAACCGCAACGATGCAGAAAAAGAAAAAACGTGCATATATAGAAAGAGAACGCGAGCAAGGCCACAACCGTCTATGGAATGACTATTTCTGTGAAGGTTCAACATATTCGACGTCGTTTTCGAATGAACAAGGAACTGTTCATGCACATTGTTGATCGCTTGTCAAATGAAGTTCCATACTTTCAACAAAGAAGAAATGCTCATGGAAGGTTTGGTCTATCCGGACTACAAAAATGTACGGCAGCAATTCGTATGATGGCATATGGTTGTCCGGATGACGCGGTTGATGAATATCTCCGTCTAGGTGAAAGTACTGCACTTGTTATGCTTGAAAAGTTTCACTAAAGAAATAATTCATTTGTTCAGAGATGAGTACCTAAGAAGACCCACGCCCGCAGATCTTCAACGATTACTCGACGATGGAGAGAGACGGGGATTTCCCGGGATGATAGGAAGCATAGATTGCATGCATTGGGAGTGGAAAAATTGCCCTACCGCTTGGAAAGGGCAATATACACATGGTTCTGGAAAACCGATAATTGTCTTAGAGGCGGTAGCATCACAAGATTTTTGGATATGGCACGCATTTTTTGGACCTCCAGGTACTTTAAACGATATTAACGTACTTGAACGTTCACCTGTTTTTGATGACATATTACAAGGTCGAGCTTCCAAAGTTCAATACTAGGTTAACGGACACAAGTATAAGATGGGATACTACCTCACTGACGGTATTTATCCTAAATGGGCAGCTTTTATACCAACTATTCCACTGCCTCAAGATGATAAAGCATCATTATTTGCTACTTGCCAAGAATCTGCCCGAAAAGATGTCGAGCGTGCTTTTGGAGTTCTACAAGCTCGTTTTGCAATTGTAAGAAATCCAACTCTTTTCTGGGATAAGGAAAAGATTGGCAATATTATGCGCGCATCTATCATATTGCACAATATGATAGTAGAAAATGAACGGAATGGCTACACTCAGTATAACATAGAAGAATTCCAACAAGGAGAGTCAAGCAGAACTTCACAAGTGGACTATGAGTACTCTACAGAGATATCGTCAAACATCAGAAACCTTATCGGCATACGAATTCAAATCCGTGATCCAAAAATACATGAACGCTTGAAGAGAGATTTAGATGAAAATATATGGAACAAATTTGGCAATTCTCAAGGGTAGAACTAAAGGTTTTACAATTTAAATATCTATATTTTGAATTTTTATAATTTCATGTACTGTTTTATAATCTTGTTTTATATGTAATGAATGTTTAAATTAAAAATTAAGTTAATAAATTTTTTAAAAAAATATTAGTTTTTTATTACTAAGCAACTCTTACCGAATCCATTAATGAAACACTTAATGATAAAAGTTGCTTAATTATCCTTAAAACAAAAAAAGTAGTATAATAATCTTAAGCAACTTTCTCCAAACCCCTCTAATGTACATGCTCTAATGTACTTGGTGTTAGCTGCTAAGAATATGATGCTCAGTTTTTGTTTTTCTGTTGAAGGACCCCCTCTGTCTTAAAGAAAGACGGAGCAGCGTTATTATGATACAAATTGAAAACACGGAACGATAAATTAAAATTCACTTAATGAATGCGCAGAATGAAACTTACTACAGATTTTACAGAGCTACTCCAAGTAGAGATTGACTCTCTCCCCTGTTTCTCAAATATGATCAAAACCAGTTTCTTTTTAGTCTCCTCTGTTTTATTGATAAGGATTTTTGTATGAAGTAGATGAGAAGGTTCAACTTTAAAAATGTTAAAAAAAAAGCATATCTAGATAAATATACTACTTACCTCTTCTTTTTGAGCCAAAATTTGCTATATTGTGCCTCATTGTCTTTAGATCCATCAATAAATCGATTGTGAGGCTTCTCCGTATCGCTGTTATGACACCATGAGAAATAGTAAGACCGGAGATATCTCTTCGCATATTGTTTTCTCCGTATCATTCTCACTTGAAACAGGGGAAAAACCAGAGAAATGTTGGTACATTCAAGCTCAGCTCTGAGAATAGTTTACAAAATGTTGCATTTGGTTTAATGGACTAAATATCCAATGAGCACAAATGAATTGAGAGACAGATGACAATTTTACAAACGAAAAAAAGGGTCCCATTTGTTCAAACCTTGGTAGTTTGGGTTGATGCATTTCTTGATATCAGCATCCAGGTACAGTACAATTTTTCCTTGCTTAACGATATATAAACCTGAAGAAGATGACAATCAGATCTGGTCTGGGTGGAAAAAAAGCAAAGAGATAATTGATTTTGTAATCACTGGAAAACCACTTGATCGAAATGCAGTGGTTGATTATCCCGAACGTGAATCAAAATTCTAGGGAAATATCAATCAACAAATCCTCAGAGCAATCAGCGACTAAATTAATAACCTAACGAGCAACGATCTTTCCTAGAGTTTCGCCAAAATTGGGATTGAAAAAGCAGCGATTGATAATCCCGAACGCAAAAACCTCACAAAATTGATCAAATCAACAAAGCCTCAGAGCTAATTTCACATAACAAGGGAACAATTCACTAACCCATACCATGGCATTAGGTTGAAAATGAAAACCTTGGCTTTAAAGCTTTAAACTTTGTATTTCTCAAAAACTTAAACTTTACAAAAACTGATGCTTTACATTTATAGAGAAAGCAAAACGAACAAAAAGAAAGGGACACGTAGCCCTAATCGTCGTTTCTTGATCCAAGAGCCTCGAATCTGTTGTCAAGCGGTATGGCATGAGCTGGAGTTGTACGGTTAAACTCTGCTTTTCCTTCAGTTTTTGTCTGCTTGCTCTTATCTCCATTTTGACCGTTGGCGGGAAGACTTGAAGCTTCCTTTTGAACATTGTTGGGCTTGGCATCTTTCCGCAGGCCCATTGTGTGCTTGGTTCTCGTAGGCCCAGCTTTTGATGATGCAGCAAAAACTCTGTTTTTGCTAAGTCCAGAGTCTTTATGTTCTATACACCCCCTCAAACTTGGGGGAGATTCTACACCAAGTTTGAAAGCAAGATCAGCAAAAGCAGCATGAGGAAGTGATTTGGTAAAGATGTCGGCAAGCTGCTGTATTGCAGGAATCTGTTTCACAACCAAGAAACCAAGAGAGACTCTTTCACGGACATAGTGAAAGTCAGTATCAAAGTGTTTAGTTCTGTTATGCATTCCAGGATTTGCAGTGAGATAAACAGCGGAGAGGTTATCACAATACATCTCTGGGATAGAGGGAAGTTTGATGCCCATTTCCTGAAGCATAGAAGCTATCCATTTCAACTCTGTAGCAGCAATAGAGAGAGATCTGTACTCGGCTGCAGTTGATGATCTGGAAACTGTGGGATGTCGTTTTGCAGACCATGAGATAATGTTGCAACCGAGGAAGGTGCAGAATCCTCCAGTGGATCTTCGTGTCTCCTTGCAGCCAGCCCAGTCACTGTCACTGTAGGCACGGAGAGTGAGATCAGTATGTGAAGACAAGTTAACTCCCATCTGAGTTGTCCCTTGTAGATACCGTAATATTCTCTTCAGGTTTGTAAAGTCAGCCACCGAGGGTTGGTGCATTTTCTGACATACATTGTTTACTGAAAACTGTATATCAGGCCTGGTAAGAGTAAGATACTGCAACTTCCCAGCCAAGCTCCAAAAATGAGTAGGATCAGAAAAAAGTTCATCTTGACCAGGTACCTTGTTCAACATGAGAGGAAGAGTTGTTGGCATTGACGTGCAATCTTTCATTCCAGAAATGATCAAGAGATCTCGAACATACTTTTCCTGATTCAGAAACAGACCATTACTATGAAAATGTGCTTGAATTGCCAAAAAGTAGTGGAGAGGTCCCATGTCTTTCATTCGAAAGGTTGCAGACAAGGACTCAAGAAGAGTTTGGATCAGTTGACTGTTGCTTCCAGTAAGAATCATATCATCGACATATAGCAGAAGATACATCAGATCATTTCCTTTCTTGTAAAAAAAGAGTGATGGATCACCAATAGTGCAGTGAAAGCCGAAGTCTAACAG